TCCATTCCAAACTTTTTAAGGATCTCTTTGCAGTATTTGGTTTGAGAGATGAAAATGCCATCTTTAAGTTGCTTGATTTGTAGTCTAAGGAAGAATGTCAATTCTCCCATCATAGACATTTCAAACTCTCCCTGCATTATCTTAGCAAATTCTACACATAATGAATTATCAGTTGATCCAAAAATAATATCATCAACATATACCTGGACCAATAAGATATGTTCTTTAACTTTCTTTATAAACAGTGTAGAATCAATTTTTCCTCTAGAAAAATCATTTGAAGTTAGGAAACTACTTAGCCTTTCATACCAAGATCTAGGAGCTTGTTTCAACCCATATAAAGCTTTCTTTAATTTAAAAATATGATTAGGATATTTAAAATCTTCAAATCCAGGGGGTTGCTCCACATAAACTTCTTCTTTGATAAAACCATTCAAAAATGCACTCTTAACATCCATTTGATATAATTTAAATTTCATCAAAGATGCAGAAGCAAGAAGTAGGCGTATAGCCTCTAACCTGGAACTAGGAGCATAAGTTTCATCATAGTCTACACCTTCCTCCTGACAATAGCCTTTGGCAACAAGTCTGGCTTTATTCTTTGTTATGTTCCCATCTTCATCAAGTTTATTTCTAAACACCCATTTGGTTCCAATAACTTGATGTGATTCTTCTCTTGGGATTAATTCCCAGACTTGATTTCTTTCAAATTGGTTAAGTTCTTCTTGCATGGCTATGCACCATTGTTCATCTTTAAGCGCTTCCTCAACATTTTTGGGTTCAATCTGTGACACAAAAGCTACAGACATACAAAAATTAGTCATATTTCTAATTCTTACCCCTTTTGAGATGTCACCTATGATATTGTCCATTGAGAGTCCTCTAGGTGATTGCCATTCTTTTGATAATTCAGGCGTTTGAGAAGGCTCATTTTCTTCCAAATATAATTCATCAAGAGCTTCTCTTATATACTCATCATCACCTGCAATTTCTTTATTTGACTCAAGAGGATTTCCCCCAAGGTCTACAATCTCATCAAAAGTAACATGAATAGATTCTTCTATATTCAAAGTTCTTCTATTAAATACCCTGTAAGCCTTGCTAGTTAATGAATAACCTAAGAAAATGCCCTCATCAGCCTTGCTAGTTAACATAAAGCACTTACATCCAAATATTTTTAAATGAGCAACATTAGGCTTTCTACCATTAAACAATTCATAGGGAGTTGATTTTATAATTGGCCTAATATGCATCCTATTCAAAACATACTAAATGATCAATTTTCTTAGAATAAATACAAGATACAAACAATTCATTTAACTATAGGAACCCAAATATATTTTCCTTTAGGAACACCAAAATGTTTGATTTTACATTTATTTGAAGTGTGACCTTGTTTCATGCAATAAAAACATGCTTTTGATGTAGCTTTAGAATAAGATGCATTACTTACAAAACATGCTCTAGATCCTTTTTCAACCCATACTCTCTTATTTTTCCTTTTAGACTTTTTCAAAGGAACTTGATGATTTACATTATTTTGAGCAAACACTATTTCATGCTTCTTAAGATCATCTATTTCCTTTTCGGCTTTGTCTAGCAAATGGTTAAGAATATCTATGTCATATTCATGCTCTTTACAATTTGCACATGCTAAGTTCTTATCATTATCCTCATCTAAACATACAATTTTCGTTTCTAATAATTCCTTTTCTTCTAAACATGTGATTTTCATTTTTAAAGAGTCTATTTCCTTTTCGAATCTACTTAGATTCTTCTTTACAACTTTATATTTATTCTTCAAGTTCTTAAAAGCACTAAACAATTCATTATAAGCATTTTGCAATTCATCATAGTTATTATCATCATCACTAGAAGATGTGTCGGAATCACTTACCTCAAAATCGGACGATATGTTGTCATTTGCCATTAAGCAAATATTGGCTTCAACTTCCGAATCACTTGATTCCGAGCTTGAGTCACTGTTGTCCCAAGCAATATAAGCTTTCTTCTTGAAGAACTTTTTCCCTTTGATTTCATCATTTTTCTTGTTTGGACATTCGGTCTTTACATGTCCTGCTTCACCACAACCATAACATTTTATATTAACGGAAGTATTTTCTCTTACCTTTCCCTTTCCTTTGAATGGATGCCTTCCTTTTGCTTTCATGAATTTGGTGAACTTCTTTATCATAAGACTCAACTCTTCTTCTTCGTTTTCCGAGTCTTGTTCTTCCTTTTTGTTTTTACCTTTGGAAATTTCGGTTTTGAAGGCTAGGTTCTTCTTTTGATATTGTCCTTCTTCTTCATTTAGCCTTCCTAATTCAAGCTCATGCTCTCTAAGCTTTCCAAAGAGCACCGCCATAGACATTGTGGAAAGATTTTGTGACTCCGAGATGGCCGTCACCTTCGGTTGCCATTTCCTATCCAAAGATTTTAAAATTTTAACATTTAATTCATCAACATCAAAGATTTTACCTAGTTCGGTGAGATGGTTCACAATATGAGTGAAATGCTTTTGAACGTCGAAAATCGTTTCTCCTTGTTGCATCCGGAACATCTCGTATTCTTGGATTAAGGAATTTTTACGTGCTCTTTTAACGTCGTTGGTACCTTCGTGGGTCACTCTAAGCATTTCCCACATTTCCTAAGCACTTTTACAAACAGAAATCCTGTAAAACTCGTCAAGGGTTAGAGCAAATGAAATTATATTTCTAGCCCTAACGTCAAATTGTGCTTTTCTGTTTTCTTCTGCAGTCCATCTAGAAAAAGGTTTGGGAACATCAACACCGTTCTCAGTAACTTTAGGAATATATGGACCGTTTAAAATAGCATCCCAAACGCCTCTATCAACAGACTCTAGAAAAATTTACATTCTTACTTTCCAGAAAGGATAATTTTTACCCGCAAAAAGTGGGGGTCTGTTGATAGACGCACCTTCGGCAAAAGTTTGATTTTGTCCGGCCATTTTCGAAAAGTTTGAATGACTATCAAAGCAAGCTCTGATACCACTTGTTAGAATCGCGCAGCGGAATGTTCGCGTGGTCGGACAAAAACCAAGAGGGGGGGTGAATTGGTTTCTTAATAAAAATTAGGTTTTCAAATTTTCCCCAAATTTTACCAATTAAAAATTGTGTAAATGTAAATAGAGAAGAGATAGAATCTTACACAGGAGATTTATATTGGTTCGGATCAAAAGACCCTACGTCCAGTTGCTAATCACTCAAACAGAGGATTAACGTTGTCACTATAATCAAGTTGTTACAAACAAATTACAATTGAAAAGATAAAGTAAAGAAAACATCTCTCTTGAAATTCACAAGAGATAATGAACAGCTTTTCCTAGAGACGGCACAGCACACAATCCACTAAGAACTCCACTTAGTGATTCTTATCACTTCTAGCCCACACCAGGTTCCAAAAGCCCCTTTTTCTTGCAACAAACAGTTCTCTGGCACTCACAACACTTAACTTTTGTATGAAAAAGGTTGTTCTTCTTTTCTGAGTGCCATAGAGAAGCTTAAGTAGAGAAATTAGGGTTTGGGAATTGGGAATTTCGGAATTAGGGTTCTTGGAAATAGGGTTTTCGAAAATAGGGTTGATTTGAAGTTAAAAATCAAAATCTGACTGAAATAATCGATTAAATGAAGTGTTAATCGATTATTACAGAGCCAAAATCAACAGAACCCCAAAACTCTCTGTTTTAATCGATTAAAAGACCTGTTAATCGATTAACAGGCCTGTTAATTGATTAACAGGGGTGTTAATCGATTAAAACAGTGAACAGATATAGAAAATGGTTTTTCTCACTGTTTTAATTGATTAATTCACCAAATAATCGATTAAAGCCAAGCCTGGTTGATAAATTTGAGCTTTTTGAAGCTTCTAAGGTGCAGACTATGTACCGGCTATCTCAAACTCTAATATTACAGACTCAATCTAATCAAAATAGAGTTATTACAATACAAAACAAGTCTTCAACACTCTAAGTCTTTGTGTTCTTGAATCATCATCAAAATCAACACTCTTCATGTCCATCAAGTGCAACATCAAGTCCTTGAATGTTCAACAAAAGTATGTACAACCTACAAAAGTCATCGACATGCTTGTCATTTTGACGTTTAACAAGTTCATTAAAAATTATTTCCAAAGTAACATGTTTCCCAGTAAATAGTCTCCTAGTATGACAATCAATGTCTGCTTCTACAATTTTGACATTTTCGCCTACTATACGAAGTCCTAAACCTAAACACACATCTAACAGTGTAAAGCATACTATCTCAAACCTTATATTAAATCCTCCTCTCTTTTCAAACCATCTACTTATTAATTCACTAAGCAATGTTCTACTAATTTTAACCTTTTTACCCAATGACATCAACCATTTAAATGGTATTGACTCAATATGACCTTTTTGCTCTGTTGTAAGAATGTTATTCACTTCACCTAAATAATTTGTCCTACAAACATGTCGCAAATATACCTGAAAATCACAATAAATAATTATAATTATCACCAATAATATCCAATATTATACAAATAGATACAATATTCACCTTCTTAACATTTGAACATCCATCATTTATGCTTCCATGTCTTTCCATTTCAAAGTGCAAATACATGTACTGGGTAAACACAATTGGAATTTACATGAAACATTATCCATTTTATTTGTTACATCCTCTATCAATTTTTTTAATACTGTCAACCAGTCAGAAATCAGGTTAGGTATAATTTTTAAGACAAATTACTATAAATGTCAACAAACTTACAATACAATTTCTGATTTGATGACAAAATAAAAATAATTTACATTGGCAATGCATATACTATTCACTCATCTTTTGTTTGAGTGTACACTTTTAAAAACAATCTCATAGAGTATTGTCAAATTAAGTTGAAAGACAAGGGAATAGAAAAGGCTTTCATAACCCATGTGTCTAGGTCTCTATCAAACACAAAAATGTTCATAATATTGTTTGTTACTGAATTAAACTCGTATGTATTGGTGGAGGGCTTTGGATTTTGCTGATCTAAAGCGTAGTTCAATATCATTTTTTGACATTGAGAAACCAAAGACGGTTGTTTGACGTTGGTCAAGGGCTAGAAAGAGAGCTTCCAAGGTAGGTTCTCACATGACTTGGATCATAATATATTGAGTTGTTGATATTGTAGGTTGAAAGACTAGTAAGTTGTTTTACTTTGTTTTTAATAGGTTGGAAAGGGTCTATCCAAGGATGTGAAGGCTCACAAACTTGCTTTGTAGCATTGGCTAGAGGCAGTAAGTCTCATAGCTAAAGTAAAAGTATATTGTTCAAATTAAACTGCTAAATTCTAACTAGTTATCAACTTAGACAGATCGACCCTCGACATCGCTATGGTCACAATCTTCAATTTTATTATGTCAAATGGCTTCGCTGTGATAGTTGTCAACCTTTCTTCTATTGGTAAGATTGAAATGAGAATGAAAATTCAATTTCTGTTTAACAAGTAACTTTCAACCAAACTGATGGATAAATCAACCTACAAGTGTAGGCTTGATGTTGGGGAAGGCAAGGAAGTACTTTGTGAGAGATGTCCCAGGTTAAAACTTCAGCAGCAGTGCATCAAATATCTGGGTTCAGTGAGTGTTCCCTTTGATTTCCCCTTTTTTACTCTTGTCCAACCAGATGGATCAATCTCATGTTAAAATATGCTATGAACAAGCCATGATATTTATTTTAGATAAAAAAATATTCAAAGCTATTTAGATAGATAAACTGTCAAGCAACATGTAAAAGTAATTTTAAAAGTTGTTTCTTTTGTAGGTGGAAAGAATGGATTATGGAGTAGTTATTGAGAATGGAAGGCTCTTGTACAAGAAAAGTGGAAAACCTATTGACACAACAAGAAATGCAAAGTGGATTTTTGTTCTTAGTACATCCAAAAATCATTACATAGGGCAGAAGAACAAGGGTACATTTCAACATTCGAGTTTCCTAGTAGGGGGAGCCACATTGTCTGCTAATAGATTAGTGGCAGAGGGTGGTGTTCTTTGAAAGTGATGAAGATCTTATTGAATTACTTTGGCAAAGATCTTGTTGATTTGATGAAGTCAAAAATGAAGTCAAAGGCTACTTTGTGGCAGTCAAAGGTCACTTAGATAAAAGAGTAGTGGGATTAGTGAGTCTGCATCTCTGCTTAGGTATAATCATTTTTATCTCTCTGCTGCATGAGGTTTCTTCATTTAAAAGATTTTGCAAATGCCTCTAAAAAATGTTTAAACAGTTAAAAATAAAGTATTTTGTTAAAAGATTTTTAATTAACTATTTTAACTAATAGTATATAAGCTTTATCAACTAAAATGTTCTTAACACTTTTGTTACGGGTTTTTAACCGATATGTTTTCGAAATAATCGATTGTTTTCATTAGAAGGATTTTTGAAAACCTTACGCCGATATTTTAACCGATATAGAATTGATATAATCGATTAAAATGACTTAGAATATTTTGAAAAGTGTTCTAGCAGAATTTTAATCGATACAAACTTGAAATAATCGATTGAAATAACTTGAAGTGTTTTGAAAGTTGTTTTGTCAGTATTTTAATCGATACAAATGCGAAATAATCGATTAAAACAACTAAGAGGTTTTTCTAGATTGTTTTAATCGATTAATACAAGCTTGCTATCAGTTAAAATAACTTAGAAAGTTTTATGAAATCTTTTGGCAGAATTATAATCGATTAAAATGCGTTTCAATGATTAAAATAACTAAGTGAACTTTTTTCAAAGTGTTTTAATTGATTAAAATAGATTGTTATCAATTAAAATCACTTAGAAAAGTTTATAAGAATGTTTTGCGAGTATTTTAATCGATTGAAAGACGAAATAATCGATTAAAACAGTTTGGAAGATTTTTTACAAAGAGTTTTAATTGATATAAATGGTGTCGTATCAGTTCAAACAAATCTGGAAAATAATCAAGAACTTTTTAACAGATTAAAAGAAGTTTTAACAGATTAAAACAAGACTTTTAACAAATTATAAAATTATTTTAACAGATTAAATAAACCAGCAGTTTTGAAAATCTTCTATATAAACAGAGTTGCTTGAACTTTTTAAAACACATCTTTTAGCAATCAATCAAGCAATCATAAGTGCTACTTTCAAGAGAGAATTGCGCTAGTTTTGTGAAGTTCATAGAAGTTCTTTCTTGAGGCAAAATTTGCATTCTCTTGGAGAAGAAACTCATACTGCAGAGTTGCATAAATCTGGTTTGAGCGTTCTAGTTTCTTCTCTTTGTTTCTTTACTTTCTTTACTGTATTGTGGGTGCCTGGAATTGTGGGCACTGGTTTCTGTAGCTGGAATTTGGCTGCAGGGTTGGTCAAGAACTGGAATTTGGTTCTTGGTGAAGGTTTAGGTGCAGGAACTGGAATTTTGGTTCTTGTGGTAGATTGAGTGTGAGATTAAAGTTGTAATCTGTAAAACGTTCAATCTAGTGGAACCCAGCTGGAATTTGGCTGGAAACTGGACGTAGCCCTGGGATTGGGTGAACCAGTATAAATCTTGGTTGTATCTTTCTAAACCTTTCTCTCTTTTAATTCTGTCACTACCTTTATTTTGATTGCTTGTTGTGTGTGATTCAAGAACTGGTCAGAATTCTTAATCTTTGAAATAGATAATCTGTAAATTGTGAAAATCTTTCAAAGATCAATTCACCCCCCCCCCCATTATCCATTTTGGAAGATTAGGATGAAGATCTTTATTGAATCTATTGATAGGAATGTTTGGGATGTAATTGCTAATGGTCCATTAATTATAGAAAAAGAATGGTCTAGTTTAAATGATGAAGAAAAGAAAAAAATTCAAAGTGATTGTACTGCTAAAAACATAATTACTTCTGCACTAAATATGGATGAGTTTTTCAGGGTCTCCCAATGCAAATCTGTCAAGGAAATGTGGGAAGTTCTTGAGGTTACTCATGAGGGAACAATTGATGTAAAAAGAGCCAGAAAACATACTCTCATAAGAGAATATGAGTTGTTTAAAATGCAAACTGGAGAAAGTATTGCAGATATGCAGAAGCGCTTCACTCATATCATCAATCATCTAATGGGCTTAGGTAAAACTTTTGATAAAGAAGAATTAAATATTAAAGTTATGAAATGTCTTGATAGGTCATGGCAGCCTAAGGTCACAGTAATCTCAGAATCAAAAGACTTATCCGTCATGACAACAACTTCCTTGTTTGGCAAACTCAGAGAATATGAAATGGAAATTAATAGATTCAATGAGCAAGAAGTCTCTGAGAAAAAAGGTAGAAGTATAGCACTCAAGGTTGAAGAAAGAAGTCAAGAATCAGAGAAGAAAAGTGAAAATCTTGGACTGCTTGTCAGAAAGTTCAACAAATTTCTCAAGAAAAAGATTCAAGATAAAGAAAAACACAAAAGGTATGAGAAAAAATCTGATTCTTTTAACTATAAATGCTATGGCTGTGGTAAGCAGGGTCATGTAAGAATGGAGTGCCCAAAAAAGAACAAATACAATGATAAGAAAGAGGAAAAAGTCAAAAAGAAGAGCATATGTAGCATGGGATGATAATGATACTTCATCAACAGAAAATTCTGATAATGAAGAAGCTAACTTGTGTCTAATGGCAAATCAAAATCATCAAACCAGCAGTGTAAGTTCTAACTCTTCTTCAAATTTGGTGAATTATAATTCATTACAAGAAGCATTTAATGAAATGCATGAAGAAACTAAGAAACTGCAAAAAGAAAATGATAGGCTAAAAGGCATGAATAATTGGTTAGTAAATAGAGTAGATTCTCTTGAAAAGAAAATTCTTGAAGATGAAACTAATCTTGACTTTTTAAAATTAATCCATGATAATTCTGATTGTGTATGTAATAAACCATGTAATAAGTATTCAGAATTACAAAAGAAGATTGATTTTTTATCACAAACTGTTTCAAAGTTTACACAAGGTCAAGCTAATCTTGATGTTCTTCTTGGGTCACAAAAACTTATTTTTGACAAATCTGGCATTGGATTTACATCTAGCAAGAAATTCATAAAAACAAATGTAAACAGGAAATCATACTCATCATCTGTGATAAAATGTTTTTACTGCATGAAAAAAGGTCATTCTGTGAAATATTGTAGAATTAAGAAGTATGTTATTCCTAGAGGTAGAATGAAGTGGATTCCCAAAAATTCATTTCAAATAACCTGATTGGACCCAGTAATTATAAAAAGGGTACCAGAAATATGCTAAATTTGTTTTGCAAGAACAAAATCTGGAAGTCCCTTGGTGTTCAAAACAGCAAATTTGATTCTGGTTTCATAAACTGAATGTTTTAATTGATATAAAACAATTTTAATCGATTAAAATCACTTATAGAGAATACCAGAAAAGCAATCCGTACAGTTTTAATTGATTGAAATACGAATCAATCGATTAAAATGTTCTCAGGAATTTAGTCTAGCTTTTTTAATCGATTAAAAAGGATTTATATCAGCTAAAATCACTAAGATGTCAAAATTAATCGATTCTTTCTCGTTTTAATCGATTAAAATTTTGTTATCATCTTATTAAATTTTTCCAGTACAAAATTAATCGATTCTTTTATGTATTAATCGATTATTTCACTGTTGCATTTTCAAACCTATATTAAACATCAAATTAATAGGTTAATTTGTTTATTAATCGATTAATTTGTTCCTAAAAGTTATTTTTACAACATCCAATTGAAAATTGGTCAGCAAATCAGAGTAAAAAATCCAAGTTTTTGTGTTAATCAAAATCTGCATAATATATTTATTACATCTGTTGACCAAGTCAAAAATTTATCAAAGAACAAAATAGTCGATGTACCCATCGTCTAGAAACCTGTGCCTCTGTCTTTGGTCAAGGGGACAAATGCATTTAAAGCTAAAACGTTACAGTTCTGTCTCTTTGGATTTCAAAAATTTGAAATTCGATCTTCATCAAACTAGGTTCTGTACTTACCCAACCATTTCTCAGCCTATCATCTTTCTTCTGTTTTCATATTTTCAAAATCTCCTCTCGAATCTCTGCTACAAACATGTTCAAAAGATCAAAATCAAGGAAGAAACAAAAGGGAGAGTCTTCCTCTGCTGGAAATCAAGGAGGTCATCTTGAAAATTGGTTCAGTGGTGATATAAAAAAGATGAATAATTTCATCACTCATTTCAGTCAAAAGCAACTTGTAATTCCCAAATTCATAAGGGTTCACTTCGTTAAGAAGAAAACTGAAGAATCAAAAACTGAAGAATTTTCTGGAATATACTGGCAACATTCAACTAGATTTGGTAAGATGTTTTATGCAAATCTCACTGTCAGTGGTTCCACTTTAAGATCTCAGGTAAAAGGAGTTAATATGGTCATTACTCCTGATATTTGGGATGAAGTTGCTGGTCTCAAAGATGTTGGTGTAAAAGTCTCCAGAGGTAATATTGTTGAATTGCCAGAGTTTAACAAAATTCAATTTTTTCGTACCTGTCTCAAAGATCAAGGTGATTCGGTAAGAATTTTCATTGCTGGGAAGATGAGGCTTGAATCAAGAATTCTTGCCTTCATTATTGCATGGATGCTTACTACAAGGGGGAGTAATCATGTTATACTCAATGAGAGTGATTTAGCTCTCATGTATTGCATTGAAAATAGGATTCGTGTTAACTGGGTTTATGTTATTAAAGATCACATGGTAAAAGCCAAGAGGCTTGTTGATTATAAATTTCCTTATGCTTTGTTAATCAACAAATTTTTTAGACATTTTGCAGTAGATTTAGAAGGGGATTATGTGGAAACTCCGAAAGCATCTAATGAGATTGATGACTCAACTTTACGGAAAATGGGGTTTATTAAAATTGATGATGAGTGGATCTCTAAAGTTGATGCTGTGATGTCTGAAGATGAGGAGGAAGATGAAGAAGAAGATGAGCAAGGCCAAATTCCTTCCTCTCCAGCTGCTGCAGAGGTTCCTGAATCCACCAGTGGTCAAGCTTCATATGAGAATATGGAGATCATTCC